CAGTTACGCATTCATTAACTTCAGGTCCTGCTTTCCTCTTAAAAACTGGAACAGGGTGGCTCACAACAAGCAGACTTAACTCGGTCTTCAGATTGTACACCTATTAAACAAATTATAACATCAAAATGCAACAGAATTAAAGGCAGGTTAATAGAAAAGTACAACACCCACCCCTTAAAAGCCCCTTTCTGAGCGACCAGTAAACTGTCCCCCCAACCCGGGTGAATAAAAAGTCTAATCCACCCTTTACTGGAAGGAAGGAAGGAGAACAGGAGACGAGAGAAGCGACCAGCCTAGGCATTTCAGAGCCTGGGAGCAGCTAAGGAGAAACGTCTCTCCCTCACCATAACCCGGCACATTTGAGCCCTTCGGTTGAGGTCTACTGCCTTCCCCTCCAAGCATCAAAAGCAAGTGACCCACATGCAGGGAGGAGATGATGAAGTCCGGCCGCTCCTGTTTGGCTTTTCCCCAACATTGCCCATTCTGGATAGTTTACGCAAACCTCCAAGTGTGTCCTCCCAAACTGGGTGAGTTTCTTTTTTTTATGCAAGTTGCTAGATCTCATGGTTGAAAAGAGGTCAGATGTCTCTTCTAAGTGCTCAGAACTGGAGGTGAAGAGAGCTGTTGTTGTTGTTTGGACTACGATTCCCAGAATTCCCCGAGAAGCAAAAGTCCACAAACCTCTACTCAGAACCCCAAAGAAAGACTCAGCTCAGAGTCAGGGGTGGGTTTGCAAGTCCCCTTTCTGTGCCCTTCCTCACCCCCTCCAGCAGAACCCACAGTTTGTTTCCCAATGGGAGGTTCGGCTACAACCGCAGCATCTTGTTATGCTTCTCAGGATAGCTGGAATTTGCAATCCTCCAGAAATGAGACTAAGCAATGGGCTCAAGTGGAGAAGGGCTGACAACCCCCCCTTCCTGCCCCAATTGAAGAAGGTCTTCGCGGCCAAGCCGTGCGGCCTCAGATGACACTTCTGGGAAGGAGGCAACATCACCGGGCATGCACGGCTGTCTCCCAGGAAATTTCGCCTCAACGACGTGGAGCAGAGCCGGTCTCTCCAGGACAAACGGTGCTCGACAATCGGGGCCTTTGTCCTCGTCCCGTCCGCAGGAACCAAACTCTGAAAGGTGCTCAGTCCCTGCTCTCCGGTCCAGCGCCCGTTCAAGAGACCACACACGCCTTTGAGGGACACACGCTATGGAAACTCCAGAGAGTTTCTCGGGCTTCGCAGAACGGCTGGACTGGAAAGGCCTTTTCAGGCCCATCCGGAACGCGGGAAACGCCGACTTTTGAAGGCTCCGAGTCTCATCAACAGGCATGTTTTCGGAAAGGCTGCTTTGCCCCCCCGTGGACATCCAGCCCAAACGTCGCCGCTTTAAAACCCACCTGGAAGTGATGGGACGGCTGAGCTTCCCAGCGCTCCTCGGAGGTGTTATGATCTTTTGCAGGGAGCTAAAAAACGAAGCCCTTGGCAGGGAACTGAAACAAAGGGGGGGGGGCGGAAGGCAGAGGGAGACACGTGGCTCGTGGATGCTCAAGGAATGCAAGAGCCATGCAAGGGGGGGGACACCAGCCTCCCCTGCGCCTCTAGGATCCCGACCTCCCTGTCCTATGAGCAGAGGGCAAGCCGGCCCTAGAGAGTCCTCTGTGGGGTGCAGGTGTACCCATGGGAGAGCAGAAAGTGGCCTCCGCGACCAGTGGTCAGTGACCCAGAGGCTCCCGAATCAAGCAGAAGCCCAGAAACGGATGGGGGGAAGCCTGGCAAGGTCCCTTTTGCCCTCCAAAGTAGGGCCAGCCAGATGGCTAACTGGGGTGTGTGTGTGTGTGTGTTGAGACTTCTCAGTCCAAACCAGAAACTTTTCCCAGCTGTCCACAGAGCAGCCTTTCCCAAGCTTTTTGTCTTTCACCTTTCGCTGATCCACTTTCAGCCCTTCCGTCGGACGCCACGGAAGGGCTTTTCCATCTCCAGGCTTCTCGGTCTCTCTCTTTATTCCCCAGCCCTGCCTGGCTCAGTGTCTTACACTAACCAGCCTTTTAAAAAGAAAAGCCGGCTGGGTGCTTGGAGAGCCGGGCAGACAGTGGCCACCTGCTTTCTGTGGGGGGGGGCAGGCCCAAAGGCCCTCCCCTCGTTGAGCCCTCCCGGTCTCCCCTTCCAAAACCACGCAGGGGCCGAGGGAATGGCTTTGAGGGAAAGCAGAAGAGGGTCTGATGATGCTCGGAGGGACTCAGGAATCCGGGAGCGATGCCTCTGCTCCACCCGTGAGCTTAATCCCCTCATCGCTGAGCTTGAGCCCCTCACCCCACGGCAGCCCCTGTCCTCCTCTCCCACCCAAGGAGCGACCAAGCCCAAATCTGTTCAGCTTCTAAAATCAGGGGTGTTCGAAGGGCTAGCCTTTGAGCAGGGAGCGGGAATAGGGCAGACGGCAGAGTCATGCTCAGAGGTGCTCCGGAACCCCCTCTTGTGTGTGTGTGAGGGGGGGCCTCCTGCCCCAAGCCAGTTCCCTGGGCACTCAGGCCGTCCCTCCTTTCGGGGAAAGGCAGCAGCTGCAGCTCCCCCGGGGCTGGTCCAGGAGAATAGACCCATTGAATGGATGCTCTGGGTCACGAGAAGAGCTGCAGGAGATGACAAGCCTCTTAAATAAAACACATCCCCAATAGAGGAAGGGAGCCATTGTGGTTCTCCAAACTTTTAAGGGTGTCACTCCCACTGTGCCCTGCCACCGCCTCTGCTGGCCAGGAAGGCTGGGAGTTGTAGTCCGACAGCACCCGGAGGGCCGCAGTCACCCAAAGTAGCTTTCTATGGTTCCTTTCTAAAACTCAGGAGCCCGAGGCCCTAATTAATTCCAGACATCGCCTGGGAAAGGCCTTCTGCAGAAGCCTTTCTTTCACTTCTTTCCCCGCCATCACACAAACAGAGGGGAGCGGGTTCCCTCTTCAGAGAAACCAGGGCTTCCTCCTGGTTCCTTTTGGGAGCTGGTCCTGCTCTTGGGTTCACCCTCAAGAGGGGAGGAGAGCGTGGAAACTCCTCAGCCCGGTCCCCTGCAAGAAGGATTTCTTACACCACGATTGTGAAGCTAACAGGTCCCCTGTGAAAAAGAAATCGCCCAGAGCGAGCGGCAGAGACACCCGTGGCTGCCTCCCGCATTCGCTGCACCCGACCCCTTTGCTCTCACGGATGGACGCCTCGCCCAGCCCTCGCTCCGGCCTGGGGCTGCTGTGCCGAAACGTCAGACTCGGTTAGCCTCTCGAAGGACCTGGCCGCCTGTGACCTTAAAAGCGCTCAAGGAGGCTCCAGGATCCAAGGAGGCCACGTCATGCGCTGTTCAAAAGGCCCTCGTCCTAACTGAACAAACCGCACGATTCCTCCCCATGGGACGAGTGAGCCAGCACTTCCCGAAAGGCTCCAGCTCCTCAAATCTCCGTGGAGAGTCTACAGCGCCTGTGATGGTGGCCTTGTGGAGGGACGTAAGATCAAGGTGCTTTGCTAGTCTGCTTAGCTCAGTGGCTTAGGTCTTTGGCTCCAGAGCCAGAGTGCCGGGAGTTCGATTCCCTCTTGGGAGAAGAGCCAGCCTGGGTGGCCTTGGGCCAGCTGCACAGGAGTCCCAGGGCTCCCCCTAGAGGAAGGGAATGGGAAAACCACTTCTGGGCATTCTCTACCTGGAAAACCCTGAAAGGGACTGCCATAAGTCAGAATTGACCTGGCGGCTTAGGTCTTTGGCTCCAGAGCCAGAGTGCCGGGAGTTCGATTCCCTCTTGGGAGAAGAGCCAGCCTGGGTGGCCTTGGGCCAGCTGCACAGGAGTCCCAGGGCTCCCCCTAGAGGAAGGGAATGGGAAAACCACTTCTGGGCATTCTCTACCTGGAAAACCCTGAAAGGGACTGCCATAAGTCAGAATTGACCTGGCACACCACCACCACCATTATTATTATT